GGGGTCTTAAAATCTATACCAGATCCCTATCTGGAATAAGGGTCTAGTATGGATTTTTAATGGGCCACATGTTTTTCTTTTTAACTAAATATTTATTGGGTTTGCAAAATAGAAATAATCAGCATTTTGTACAGTATTTGCCGGCCACAGAAGGCCACATAGGCAACATAATGCGGTCAATAACATGTTAATGCTAACACAATGTATCGACATTAATGCAGTATAAGACAAAAGGAAAGAAAAGAGAACAGGTAGGGAGTCCATCGGTCGGTCAGCTTCTATTGTGATTTGGGTCCATTCCGCAAGTTCTCGAATCTCAACTGGGGGCCCCATATTCATTACCCCTTAACTCTATAGACCACATCACAGGCGATTAAGGGTGTTGACATCCAGATCGGGGTGGTTATGTAGGAGCCAAGGTTCCCAGATTTTAAGAAATTTGGCATGCGTATCGGTGAGGATACTTGATAACCGTTCATTTAAGAGAACATTATCCAGTCTATTGGCAAACTCCCGGTACGGGATAAATTGCTTTTTCCAATATCCCGCTAAGGTTAATTTGGCAGCAATTAATATTTGGTGTGCCGGGGCACCCTGGGATTTATTCAATCCGGGCACTGAGGCATGAAGTAGAGCCTATGTTGGGTCTTTAGAGACAGCCTTGGCAAATAGAGACGAAAGTAAAAAAAATATTCTGGACCAGAACCGAGCAGCGAAGGGGCAGGGCCACCAGGTATGCAACATGTCCCCTGGGGTCGAGCACCCTCTGAAGCAGTTAGTAGATGATGACGGATACATTCTAGCTAAACGAGTGGGGACTAGGTACCACCGAAACAATACTTTATAGGCTACCTCAGAATTTGTCACATTACTGGAACACAGAGTGAGTCCCACACTTTCAAGGTATGTTTCATCAGAGGACTAAGTGAGCGGGGTCTATCCACGGCTAGTAACCAGGGGAGTGGTTGTAGAGGAATTTTGGAGCAGTTGGGAATTTCCAACATAGTCCATAGTGAGACATTAGTTGTGCGGTGGATAGCAATTAATGGTAGTAATTGGGATGCTTGGTAGTAAAGAAGGATATTCGGGAGGCCTATCCCCTCTTCCCGTTTATGTTTATGCAGTGTGGACCGTGGGACCCTGGGGCGTAATGGGTGCCATATAAACGTTAAGATGTTCCTTTGGAAAGTTTGCAGGATAAAGGATGGAACTGCTATCGGCAACAGTCTGAAGTAGTACAGTAGCTTTGGAAGTATGGTCATCTTGACCGCTGCAACACTTTCAAACCAAGATAGCTTATGGTGTACCCAGGTGTCCATTAAAGTTTTGAGTTGTCTAAGTAAGGGTAAGTAGTTATTTACATACAGCGTAGCATACGAGGGAGAGATGTTAACCCCAAGATATCTTAAATACTTCTGTTCCCAAGTGAATGCGAAGTTCACACGAAGGCTATCATAAGCATGCTGTGTCAAGGAGCCCCAGGAGACTGAATCAAATGCCCGCTGGATGTCAAGGGACAGTAAGAATCTGGGGATGTTCTTAGTCCTGAGTACATGTATCAAGTGGACGTTTTTCCTGACGTTATTCCTTGGGTGCCACATTGGAATAAAGCCAACCTGGTCCTTATTGATCAGTGTAGGCAGGAATGCATTAATACGTGTAGTCAAGATCTTTGATAGTATTTTAAGGTCAACATTCAGGAGGGATATAGGCCTATAGCTATCAAGGTCTCTATCTGGTTTCGGGATCATTGATATGTATGCTAACAGGGAGGAGGGGTGTACTGAGTCCTCCTTGCGTAATGAATTATACATGTCCGTTAGTCTTGGTGCCAATATGGGTGCCAATTTTTTGTAATAAAGGGTTGAAAATCCATCTGGGCCAGGAGCTTTAGATATTTGAAGGGATTGGGCCACATGTTTTTTACATTTAAATTATTTACAGTTTACACTTGAGTTCCTCAAGATTTTGCATACATTTAAAGGGTACCGGGACTGGAAAAAGGTTTATGACTGATTTAGGAAACAAGTAAAACTATCTATAAATGATCAATAAACAAACACCAGTGTCTCCTGCACACATTTATAAAGTAAAGGTAAAGTTTCAAATTTCTGGCTCATAATGAAATTAAACTAATAAGTGACCTTTTTTCCATTGCAACTTTCGGTAACAAGAGACCTACAAACTATATACAACTTTGCAATATTAGTAACAGAAGTCAGCCCGGCCTTGTTCTAAGGATAGGGCATAGACCTGACACTATCTTAAGGCTTAGTTTTAACAAAGCCAGTAACAACACAATAATATTAAAGTGTATGTTACCCCAAAAAATGTAATCTTACATATGAATCTCTTTATGAATCATTTTGTTTACACTAAAACTAGCCTGTTTGTTTGTTACTTCTGTAATTTATCATATATACCTGGTGAGGTGATCCTGCCATTCCCTCTGCTGTCTTTTCTATTTTGCCATGCATGCATGAAAGTAGATCCTTGCTGGTGTGGTCAGTTTGTGTCTCCCTGCTTCATTTTTGGAGATATAGGATGCCGTGTGGAAGCTAGGCAACCACTTGCATTAAACGTGATGACGTCATGGGTCCGTAGACCACCCGAGCCCGGGGGAGAAGATACTGTGGGGACAGGTCTAGCAGCCAGGCATAAATGAGAATTAGGTGAGTATATCGTCTTTATTTTAGCCTCTAGACCAAAACGAGCAGTTATCCCTTTGCAGTGCAGTAGTATTCCCGCTGCAAGGGTTAATTTTGACAATTCCCGGAGTCCCTCTGTAAGTTACCATTCCCCTCTGGCTGGTTGTTTTGATTGATGGGGCTCCCAGCAGCAGCCTCCGTGTCAACACAGCAGCAGAGTTGGAGAGAGCAGGCACACCCCCTGTCAAGGGGGTGTGCCTGCTTTTTTGATTTGACAGAGGCTCCTGCTCAGAGCCCTGTCAAACAGCAGCAGCATTGTTAGCAGACAAGCACCCAGTCCTGTGTGAATTGACAGGGCCCCATGCAGGAGCAGGAGCAGGAGCCTCTCAGTCTAAACATCGGTGCAGTTGAGAGCAAACATGACCCCACACATGTTCCAATAGTATACATCACTTCTTATTTACACGCCCACCAGCCACATTGTGTTACAAGCAAATAAGGAATTACCGTCATGTGATCATTTTGAAATTACTAAAATAAAGTTACACTGCTTGTCAGCAATTATTTAAAAAGACACTTTACTTCCAGTTCAAGATGCATCCTACTCCACCATCTGAAATGCTGTCTATGTAGCCTGGACATAATTTATTCCTGTTTTCTGTGTCATATATACACTTAAATGTGGATTTGTAGGATGAAAATCTACCTGATGTGTGTTCCTCAGTGCTAACTGTACAATATTTCTGATCTACTGATCTACTGTAATGTTTTATCTCTTAATACAAAAGTTGCTGTGTCTCTCTCACACTTTTAATGATGTGCAGCAGGTCTGTGCTATATTTCTGGCTGTTGTCTCCAACATAATCTGCTGTGATTTTATGTTCTTAATAAAAAGTGACTTGTCTCTCTTCAAATTCAGGCTACTAAAAAGACTTCAATGATGTGCAGCATGTATGTGCTATATTTCTGGCTGTTGTATCTGACTGTAATTTTTCATTACTTGATTAATGTGCCTTGTCTCTTTATCTTGCAATGTGAGCTACTAAAAAGGCTTCCATGCTATTCATTGTGTCTGTGCTATATTTCTGTCTCTTGTCTCTGACATAATGCACTGTAATTTTGTATTTCATGTTAAAACCTTGTGTCTTCTTACATTGCTACCCAATTAAGCTGCTTTCATACTCTCCAGGCACTGTGCTATGTGTCTAGTTAATGTCTCTAAAATATGGCTCTGTAATTTTTATTTATTTGTAACAATTGCCTCATCTCTGGAATGTGGGGCTGTGGCTTTGAAGTGTTTCTGTGTTGAATATTTATTAAACTTTGTAGACAATACAGTGTGGTACTACACTGAAAGAAGATCACAAGCTACGCTATGTAACATATTTTGCAACAGTTTGATTGGTGCAAAGTTCAGTGATTTATATTTATTTCAAAATAAAAACCATCTGAAATCGTTTGGATCTGCTCTCTCTACTACTTCAACCACTTATTTCTGGCCTATTACTGCTAGATAAAAAAATCATGTGTCACAGCAAAAACTACCTAAAAGTTTAACTTTTAAAGATAAAATTTTGAATTCAGACAGGAGACTGCTGCTTCATATAATCCAAGCAATAATGCAAAATATTAAAAAATATTTTTTAATAACGAAAGTCGTGCGATGGTTGTAAGGTGTATGGGCAGCTTCGAGGTGGCCAAACAACTTACAGCCATTGTACAACTTTGTACCCTCATTCAATTTTCTTACAACTAGCCCATCATGCACAGACCAATGTAGTTCACAATTAATGCTCGTCAGCACCACCTGGCTTATTTTCATCGATCAAAAGGACAGATTTTCGTTTGAGCATATGCAGTTTTCATCTTGAGATTTTTGTTGTACAACAACGCCACTAACCTTTAAAATTTCATCCAATTAGACAAATGTTTTCTAGAAATACAAACATCTGCCAGTTGTACAGTAATTGAGGTTGTACACTCCCCATCAACTGGCAGCTTTTCAGATGAAAACGCAATTGCAGACAAAAATCTCCAGATAAACCGTGCAGTGAATGGAAGGCGTGCAACCGTTTTTACTGTACGGCCGCACGTCTTCCGTCGAACAAGCAGGCTGGAAAACCCGCCGGGAATCGTACGATTCTCGGCGAGTTAATGGCCTGCTTGTTCGACAACTGCCGAACGGGCCGGTGTGCGCACACTGCCCGTTTACGGTCATCGGAAGCCCGCCCCTCATTGCAGTCATTGCAAGCCTGCCCCTCAGGGAGGCGGGCTTGCGATGATCGCAAGTACGATCTGCCTGTCCAAGATGGGCAGATCGTACATTTTTTTAAGTACTTTACAACCCTCGCAAGACAAAAGTCTTGCGAGGATTGTAAAGTGTATGGGCACCTTTAGAGAAGGAAGACTTCCACTCTCTTAAGGACATTGGTTTAAACTGGTGCATGCATGATGTGCAAGGGGTTTATATATCCTGGGGCTGACCTACTGTCTTGTTTGAACTAGTGATTCTTCTGTAGGTGGCACTATATAACCCATGGTGTTATACACTGTTCCTGTGTCTCTTAAAGTGACACTAAACTCAGGAGTTCAATCCTTAAAATATTAATAAAAATTTATCTTATCTGTGTATCACTCAGCTGTAGATCCTCAAATCATCTCTATATTGGTGCTGACACTGTCCTTCCTTCTGCAGGGTGGCTACTTTTGTTCCCCATGGTCCCTGTGTGTGTTGTAAAGTAGCCACCGCTCCAAGATCACTCCCGTGATGGACTACAATCTCATGTTTAGTTTACTAATTTGTATTGAGATTGTAGTCCATCACAGGAGCGTGTTTAGAGAGGTTACTTTGCAAAACACACACAGGGATTTACAGTTGAGTGATGGACAAATAAGCGGAGACTGCAGCTTAAAGTGATGCTAAACTTGAAATAATTAAAAAATGCATTCAAAGTACCCAGGGCCGGATTAATGTTCTCTGCTGCCCCAAGGCCAGGTTCCTCAATGCACCCCCCTCCCCGCCAAACCCAAAATGTAATATGGCAACGAGATGGCGAGGGCGGCAGGGTTGGTTTTACATTTTTTTATATCTGTTCTTTTTATTAACTTTAGCAATTTTTTTTATTTTTTTCACTTTTTCAAATTTTTATTTATCTTATCTTTTACTTTTTTATTTTGTATATTTTTTTACTTTATTATTTTTCTTTTTTTTATCACTGTAATTTTTAATTTTTTTTAACTAATATTTCTTATTATTCTTTTTACTAATTTTTTTTGATTTTTTTTTCCATTTTTTAGCAATTTTTTCTTTTTCACTTAACTTTATTGCTATCACACAGGAACTAACAAATGTGATAGCATTTGCAGGTGACAGGTTCTCTTTATTGAACCTGTCACCTCCAATGCAGGAGTTTGAGCACAGCACTGTGCTGGAAATCCTCTGACAGCTGAGATGGGAATGCGGCGACTGCAGCTCTCCCGCCTCAGTGTTCACATGGAGCAGAGCGGAGAACGGACATTCTCCGTTCTGCTCCCTGCTCTCCATCCTGAACGAATGTACCTTGGTCCCAGGTCTCCAGAAGAGTGGGGGACCCTGAAAACCATGATGGGGAGGGAGGTGGCCAGCTGGGAGAGAGGCAGGGGGCAGGGAGGGGCGGTGGCGGTGTGGGATAGAGCTGCAGGCATATTACAAGTCGGCGGCATCACTTCTGCTAAACGAGTGGTGGCTTCCCTGCTCTACATTTATCCCTGCTTGCCTGAAGCAGGACTAAATGTAGAAAAAACTACCCGCCCGCCCGGCGGCTGTGCCGCCCCTCTACTCACTGCCGCCCCGAGGCCAGGCCTTGGTGGCCTTGTGGGAAATCGGGCCCTGCAAGTACCATAACTATTAAAATGTATCTTATTTGTCTATCACTCAGCTGTTGATCCTCAAATCATCTCTAAATTTGTGCTGACACTGTCCTTCCTTCCTACTTTTGCCCTCCATGATCCTTTTGTGTGTTGTAAAGTAGACACCGCTCTAAGCTTGCTTCCATGATGGACTACAATCTCACGTTTAGATTAGAGTAAACTTTAGTATTTATTAAACTAAACATGAGTATATAGTCCATCACAGGAGTGAGCTTGGAGCAGTGACTTTACAACACACACAGGGACCATGGAGAACAAAAGTAGCCACCCTCCAGATGGAAGGACAGTGTCAGCACCAATTCAGAAATGATTTGAGGATCTACAGCTGAGTGATACACAAATAAGATACATTTTTGTTAATAGTTAGGGTACAAAGCATTTTTAAGATTTAACTCCTGAGTTTAGTCACTTTAATGGATGATAGAGTAACAGAACCTGCCTTTGGCTTGGCTTTGAAGTTATTACTGACTCCCCTTACTGGCAAAAGTAGTCTTCCAACTTTCTATCAAATGTTTACTATATTCTGCTTATATCTGATTTATATGTTAAGGTATTTTACTCTTTATAATGCTGTACTGAATATGAATCCTATAATAAGAAATGAGAGGTAAGCACTCTGAAATATATGAGCGAGTTCCATTCAGAATAAGAAAATCTGAACTATAAACTCATGCATTTTATTTGTAAATTTGCCCTGACAGTTACCCCACTTTGAAAACTACTGTTTGATTTTCCCAACCTGTTTTCTCAATTATCAATATACTGTATCTGTTCACTGCACTGTTACTATATGGACACACTCTAGGATATCCAGACAGCTGCAGAAAATAATGCATGGCCTTGACATGAAAGTGATGCACATATGACATAATGGAATAGCTAGTCTTTACTGATTAGATAATCCAGGCATTGTTAATGTTTCACAAACCCCAGAGCGCAAAAGTACAATGTAGCATTAAGACTTGATTTGATATCTTACAATAGATATATATTCCTACAGAAGACTCATGTCAACATACTTCTGGAATCTTTCACTGCAAGAAGTTTATACTACACTACAGGATTGAGTGAATCTTCACAAGAAAAAGCATGCAAAGAGTATTACAAGACTCCTGATTACTATGACTTTCATTGGAGAGGTCCACCTGCTAGCCTGGGTATCTGCTGCTGTCGCCCTTTTGACCTTACTGGTCATCACCACTATGCCATTTCTAAGAGACTATATTCACAAATGGAATACATTGAAGCCAATCCCAGGAGTTAGCCCTTGTTTTCCCTTGATTGGAAATGCCCTGCAGTTTAAACCAAGTGGAAGAGGTAGATATTCTATTTTAGTATTATTATTGTTATTATGAATATTTTGCACCATATACATAGAGTAAGGTATAAAGTAAGCAAACATATTTTGTAGGGATGCACCGATACCAAGTACCATACTCGGTAGAAGTACAAGTACAGATACTTTTCGAGCTCCAAGACTAGACTAGAGAAAAATTACAAAGTTAGGAGGCAGCTGTCATTTTTAAGGAGCACACGGAGCTCCTGGGATTTGTACATCTCTGTTTTAATGTATGATTTTGTTTTTATAAATATAAATAAAGGGATGCCCCGATACCAGTTTTGCAAGAACAAGTACTGATACATGCCCAAGTACTGATACATTTTTGTTTAGTGTCATGTGACAGTTTTTCTAAAACAATACAGACTATTGATTTCAGGACAGTGGTGGAGCGCCAGGGCCAGGTCCCAGCTGCAACCGCTGCAACCCTGGTAGTTCTCATGAAAATGCCAAGTATCGGCATTGGTACTCGAAAAGTATCGGTGCATCCCTAATATTTTGTTAATAATACAGAACAATAACACAAAACGGTATGGGGGCCTACTTGTGAGAGCTTACTGTCTAGTAGTGAACTGGGAGTGATGCAAAGTGTATGTAGATAAGTAATATCAAAGCCCCCATTTTCCTATTTATTTCTTAATTTTTCCTATTTTTAATTTATTTTCTTTTAGACTTTAAAAATGAATAAATAAAATGTGATATCATACAGCATTGAACCCCAGATAGATAAAAAAAAACAATTGTTGCAATTATGGTGCAATCTGCACTTCCACTGTACTGCACTGAACACTGACCACTGAACGAAATTACAAATACACACACACACTTAAACTGTGTATGTGGCTGCTTGCTGATGACGTGCATAAAGTAATAGAATACATTCCCTAGACATATTTTTGTCTTTTGCTGCTTGTGTGGCTTTGACTACTGATAAGTTAATAGAGTGTAGATAATTATAGAGTATTGTAGAAAACTTGTCGAGGACAATTGCAACATTTTAGAACTATTGCTATTCTCTGTATACATTACATTTGTCATGTTACTTCCCAGATTTCTTCTGTGAACTTGCTGAACACACCGAAAAATTTCGGCATCTTCCTCTTATGAAAATATGGGCTGGACCAGTACCTTTCCTGATATTATACCATGCAGAGACTGTAGAGGTGAGCAGACCTCAACATGCTTAAAGAAACTCTTGATAATATAGACACCTTGAAAATTTCTGCAAGAAATGTACTTAATGGCAAAAGATGTGGCAATAAATGAATTGATGTTCTGCAGTGGATAGAGACTGG